ACTGTCTCTAAGCCCCCTGGGGCTTAGATGTCCCATCCAACAGTCTGTGCTTTCCAACCTTCTCGCTGCCGCTCCCAGTACCATCCTTGACACCTTCTCACCTTCTTCGTGCTCTTGGCAGTGACAATGTCGGTCCTGGCCCTGCCCTTCCTCCTGAACCCCACATGAACACTTTCACCTACACAGGTGGCTACCCAATTTACACAGTAGTGTGGGCCAGGTCTGGCCACAGAAGCACCATCTGAGACAACGTCCAAAAGGCTGACTTGTTAGGCCTGGTGACTCCTGCCTATGATCCCAGCACCTAGAAGGCTGAGGCAGAAGGATTATTGTGAGTTCAAAGCCAGTAGTAGCCACCCTGGGCTACAAATGTGAGACACTGTCTCAAGAAAACAAAAACCAGTCCAGTGAGATGACTCCCAGGGTAAAAACACTTGTTTGGTTCCTGGAAGCCATTGGCAGAACAAAAGAACTGACTCCTAAAAGTTAGCGCATCACACACACACACACACACACACACACACACACACACACACACACACACACACACACACACACGAAATAACTTTTAAAAAGAAATGCAGAAATGCTGTCAAAAGTCTGGATGGCTTGTTTTTATTTCCTTTTGCTCCATTCTCGTCCAACTGATTGCCCCTTCTCCTTTCCCTACCATAGGTAAATCACATTAGCCATCCAAAATCACAAGCAAGACACCTCCTCGAACATTCCAACACTCATCCCACTCAGCCTTGTCCCCTCCTGCCCTATCTCTGCATTTGCACAACCAAGCCTTGATCGAATGTCTGTCTCCCTGGCAGACTGTGAGCCCTGTGAATAGACAGCTTTTACACATCTCTGACTCCCAACAGCCAGCACTGTGTCTGACACACAGGCTGCAAAAAGTTTATTAAAAAAATGCATAAACAAGTTGGTATTGGGGGTAAGGGGTGTGTCAGATGACAGGAATCAAGAGTGAGTGAATGCAAAACTCATGCAGTGTTTTGTTTTTGTTTTTTTTTTTCCTTGACTTTACAGTTATTCTGGGAATATAGTTAAGTAGATGGGAAAATCTGACGTGGCACAGACGGAAATGTGGGAGGGATTTTTTTTTTTTTAATGAAAATATTTCTAGCTTGCTTTCTCCTCTAAATTACACCCCACAAACTTGCTGAGAGGAGTACTAACAGGTTCAAGGTCACCTCATAGTTCAGTGACCAAGCTGGCTAGAACATAACCCCAGCCTTGGCTGGGTGGAGTTCATGTCCTTCGATATACAGTGGTCTAGGGGGTGATAGGGTGGGTGGGGAAAGATAAGATGGTTAAAGATGAGCTAAATGCCTGGGAGGGGCAGGACTACCCCCAGGAAGGGGCACAGCAAAAGCTGGAAGATGAGCTCAAGGTGTGTGGGGGGTATCATTCATGACTGTCTTGGCGCTTGCAAAAGCATCTAAGTGGACGTGAAATGTACATTGGGCTAGCTTTCACTGGGTACTCTTGTTTCAGGATTCCAAGCTGTGACAAACCCACTCCCAACACCCAGTACTGCAAACAGTTCTAGGCGAGGTTCCAGTAGAAGGGCCAAGGTTCAAACTACATGAATCTGGGTGGCCTTGATTAACTGGCATATCTTCATGCCACAGAGAGTCTTACTCCTGAGGTCCCTAAAGCACCTTCAGCCTGTCCTAAATGTGGCTGGAAGGTTGATAAGCATCTAATGTTAACTGTCTTGAGGTAGGAAGCAGACAGAATTCTTTGCCTTAATCCTAGGGGAGTTCAGCTCCCCACACCCTGCTGAGCAGGGGCATTTCATGACTCATCTTAATGAGGAGGCTGTGTAAAACCTCCCATGGCCAAAGATGGCTTACCAGCAGGCAAAAGGGAGACAACTGGCAATGGGACTCAAGCATCACACCCAGAGCCCCAAACTGTCATGCCTGGGATCAAGACATTATCATAGGAACCCCCTGGCTTTTCCTGGTACAGATGAAGGTGCCACAGCACTCCATCCAAAATTCTAAAACTTCTGGAAAAGGAACAACCGTCTCCCAAATCCAACAAGTCATTCATTCACTAGGTAATGATTTATTTAGGCCTTACTATGTGCCAAGGGCCATTCCAGAGCTATCGATACAATCATCAGGGCAGAGAGCCTGCCCTTTGGAATCTTATATTGTACTGGGTGGAGACAGACAACACAGCAAACCACTGAGCACCAGAGCTGGCAGTGAGATGCGCTATGAGGAAAGGAAAAAGTAGCACAAGGTGGAGGATTGGGAAGGCAGATGGGATGTGGGGGCTACAGGCCTAAACGGGGCACCAGCAAGGTCTCACGGAGGTGGTGCTGAAGAGGCAAGATGGGGAAAGGGAGCCTCTCTAGCTCTCTTGGAGAATAGCCCTGGAGTGGGAGTGTCCAGGTGTGTTCAAGAACAGGAAAGCCTGAGAAACCTGGCAGACAATCATCCATTCATTTGTTCAATTAACGCTCGCTGAGGCCCCATCTGTGTTTTCAGTGATGAAAACCAATAAGGCAGAGTCGGTCCCACACTCAACGAATTTACAAAGCTGGGGAGTGGAGATGAAAGAACCTGGTCCAGGCTTAGCGACACACACCTACAATCCTAGCACTTGAGAGGCAAGTCCAACCTTAGCTACAAAGCAAGACCCCGACTCAAAACAGAAACCTAAACAGACAGACAGAAAATTACAGCTAGGCAGAAGGCTTCCAGCAGAGTTGGGTCCAGTGCCTTCACACAATTTGGAGGTGAAAGATCCAGCAAAGACCCTAAAATATGTCACTCTGTCTGGCATAACACTGGTGGTGCTGAAGTGATCGCTTGTTCCTTCTTAATAACAAAAGCAAAAAGCCTTCCAGACGCTACACTTGGAAGGAAACGCTTATATTCTAAGTGCACACTCGGTTTGTTTGCCACATCACAGGCAGCCTCAGGCTAGCAGTAGGGACCAGATGGAAAGACCAAGGAGAGGCCACACAGTGGGAGGTACGGACATGACAAGGCACCTCTGTGGTAATGTATGAACTAAGACTGGTCTCCTAAGGCCAGGAAGGCGCCACACAAGGCCCAGGGTCTGTTCACAAGGGGTGGCCACCCCATCACACTGACATCTCCAGTGTCCTGATACACAGGGTAGAGTGCACCTGCCTCTCTGTGAACTGCTTGGGATCCATACTCCGGAAAGTCCTGGATCAAAGTGGGGGGGGGGGGGACCAGAAGAGCTCTGGTCAAAGAGATGCCAGCTTCTTTTTTTTTTTTTCTAGCTCACTTCTTCACAGGATAGAGTAGCATCCAAAAATGCCCTGTCCAGACCCAGCATGCTCCCACAGAACAGAGCAGCCCTGCTGATCAGGAGCTGGACACCAAATTAAGCAAATCCATACTAGTTGCATCCAGATCTGACCACACTGATTGAGAGGTACTGGTGGGTATATACGCTACCAGTAACCACCTCAAAGACCACAGAGGCAGGTGAGAAGGGAGCTGTAAGATGGAGGTAAGACACACTCCCCACTGCCCCTGTGCCCCAACTCTGACCCTGGGCAAAACAGGATCCTAGGTCTGTACCCTCAAATCTCCTTCCATGCCACCCAGACTATCTCCTGTCCTGGTTTATAACCCTCAAGACATTCTTAGCTCTGATGCTGAGATCTGTCTAGAACACTTAAAAGAGAGGGTACCAACCTGACCCTTTGGCCTGACCCAAGTACACCTTTTGGTCTTAAACCAAATCTGGCAAGACCATCTCTTTTTCTCCTGATCCCACTTCAAGACTGTTTCCACCACTTTCCAGTTCAGAAATGACCGCAGGCTTATACACAACTAGGGTTCAAAAGTGGTTCCCAGGTTAGCTTGGGCCTTTGCCAGAAACAGCTCTACATATGGGAAGAAGGTTGGGACCAAGATTATGAAGAAAAGTCCCTACAAAATGAGCCCCAGGTTCTTCTCTAAAGAGTTGCCCTTTCTGCCCTGCCTCACCTTCTTCAGCCTGCGAGGGTTTTACCCCGTAATCACCTTGTTTACAGACACTTTGAGGGTTTCAGGATAGAAGAAGAGGAGGAAGTCTTTGTTGGGAATAAGGAAAGGGGTGTGTGCCCTGAGCTTTGAGACAGGGTAGTAAACCCTAAACCCTCTACCTGGGAACCAGCCAAGCACACCTTAGAAAACACACACACACACACACACACACACACACACACACACACGCACACACACACACGAGCAGTGCAAGGCCAGCTCAAGATTGGTGGTGGGGCAAGTTTATGTGGAACAATAACCCAAGGTTGGTCTCCATGCTTCTGCCAAACAGTGGAAACTACTACTTGGCATTGTTCTGAGTCTGGAAGCCAAGGAGAGACCTCCCAATAATGCTTCTGTGGGTTGGAGGGCGACTGACGGTACGCCCCTGCCCCCAGATCTTCCAGAGCTCCAACCTGGGAACAAACTGGGAAGAGGTGTGCTCCCCTGGTGGTCACTGACAAGCAGAGCCAGGAGGAGGTCCACTAGACAGGACCACCTGCTGAGCCACAAGCACATCTTTGGCTTCCTCACAAGAGGGGTCTGAGCTAAGATCAAGCCACTTCATCTTTTAAGAGTCCTCTCAAATGTTTCCTTCCCTGTGACATCCTCAGCTGTCTAACTACTTCCCCTCCTCACCCTCTAAATCTCCAAGAGGCCTGGTGTTTGCCTCTTTACAGACATGAGCCTTACTGTGTATCCCTCCCCCAGCTCCAGACAAATGTGTCTCTTTTCCATTCAACTAAAAACACAAAGCACAGTACCTGGCAGACGGCAAAGGCTTGAGAACTGTTTCTGCTGCACCTGGTAACATTCGCCTCAGAGGCACAGGAAGTGATGGACGAAGGGACACAGAACCAATCACACAAATAAGAGTAAAATCAGCAGACACAGAACATGCAGGGGACGCTTCAGGGGGATCAAGAGGTGTCGAAAGGACATTTAACCAGGAATTACACTGGTCCTTACCCTTCTTGAATTCCTCCAGCATGGCATCCAGCTTGGTGTCATGGAAAACAAAATGAACCGGGTGGTTGTAGAAGCGAGTGATAGTCTTGAGCGGGGTGCAGTCATCAGGGTCCACGAAGGCCAAGTCTTTGACATAAAGGATATCTACGATATTGGATTGCTCATCTTCAAACACGGGAATGCGAGTATAGCCACTTTCCATTATCTCCGACATGGTGTTGAAGTCCAGGATGGCATCACTGCGGATCATGAAGCAGTCGTGGAGCTGGGTCATGATATCCTCCACAGTTTTGGTCCTTAGTTCCAGGGCACCCTGGATCATATTTAATTCCTCCTTCACTAGGTCGTTATAGGGTTCTGTCACCTTCAGCATCTCCATCAGCTTCTCCCGATTGTAAACAGTGCGAATCTCCTGACCCAAGACGAAGTCCAGGAGTTTGCTAATGGGGAAACTCAGAGGAAAGGTGATCAGCATAAAGATTTTGGTGAGAACAATAGTGTTGGCACCCACAGCCAGCCCATGTCGGGAGCACAGGGCTTGAGGTAAGATCTCCCCAAAGATGACAATGCCAATGGTGGAGGAGGCCACTGCCATGATGCCAGACCCGATGAGGTTGTCTAAAAGGATGGTGAGGGAGGTGTTGACTAGCACATTCCCTAGGAGCAGCGAGCAGAGCAAGTAGTTGCCCTTGCGCCGGATGGGCTCTATCTTGCGGGCGTACCTTCTCTCCTTTTCAGTTCCACAGTTCTGCACGATGCGTAGCTCCATCGGGTCCAGGGCCATAAGCCCCAGGTTGAGGCCAGAAAATATGCCCGACAGCACTAAGAGCACCAAAACGAGAAGGATGTGCAGCCACAGCGGCAGAAACCTCCCATGCTCCTCCACCATGAAGAGCAGGGAGTCCTTGTCCGTCCATTTGAGCCAGGGCCCGTCAGACCGGGCCCGGGTGCACAGTGCGTACAGCTTCATGTTCTCGCTCCTCCGCAGGAACTTGGTGAGCACCACTAGCATCCCCGACGTGTTCCCGCGGCTCACGTTGACCAGCCGCTGGACCACTAAGTCCTTGGTGAGCTCCAGGCAGTTGGTGGAGTTGTGGACCGTCTCGGCGTCGTCCACCTCAGTAAAGGAGATCAGGTTGCTGGAGATCGCCCCCAGGCTGTGGCCGTAGAGCCTCAAGTTTACCGTGCTGCCCTCTGACACGAAGATGATGCCATCCGAGTTCATCCCGCACGACTTGTTGCAGCTCGCCAGCCTCATGCCCAGGATCA